TTGTTCAAGCATAGGTGTCATAAAGCTGGCTGTATTGAGGCAGTTGGGAGCCTTGTATTTTGACGCCTGCTTTCATTAGTTTAGCGAGGACACTAGGTGTAGTTAAACAGCCAAAGGCTTGACTAGCTAGGTGCATCTCTGTGCTCAACCACTAATGCCGGCTGTAGCCTAAGGCCGGCTTGGCTTGTGCGGGCGCCTCAATGGTGGACTGGCAACGAGGGCTGCCTATTCTGAAAATTTACAAACGACTTCTCAAATTCAGGCGTCCATACCCATCTTGCGTATCCAGCCATGCATAACATTCTCTCGTTCTCACATATGCTGCTTTATTAGAGCTAGCTTGAAGTTCGACATTGAGATATCGTCTTGCACATTCTCAAACAAGGAACTTTTTGGTGTTAAACGGTTTTGGACACCATTAATAACCAAGGTGCGCAGCCGGCAACCGAGAGTTTGAGTTCAACATTTTACTTGCATTTTACTTGAGTTTGAGTTTGAGCTCATGCCTTTTCAACCAAGTGTCGACTGTTTTAGCCGCCATTTAGCCGCCTGCTTTCTTGGGTGAGACGCCAATGCTCAGCTTTCACAATAAGAGAATTAGCACATGAACAAGTTTAAGCATTCACTCTCATGGCCGATTATATTACTACGAGCCAAGCGCTACTCCTCTCGACAGGCCGTGAGGTTTGAGGTTTATATGTGCGAGTATGTTGGCTGTTTACTTTTGGAAGATCAAGCTAGAACCAAACTCATTTGTATCAAGTATACTTGGCATTATATTTTTGAGCAAAAACCATGCGGTTATACCATGATAAAACATCATATAGAGCAGGCTGGTCTTATCACAATAGTAAAGATCATAGATGTTGCATGCCGGGGCCGTTTTTGAACCTCAAGTAAACCGAGCACAATGGTTTTTTTTTTTTTTTTTTTTTTGGGTATGGCCGGCTGTAATCTTGAGGAGCACTTGTGATTGTGTAATTATTCACGGCATTCTTGCTTTAAATACATATAGCCGGTTTTTCAAGGCTACCCTCGACGAGCACCGGCTGTTTGGCTGACCGAATGCCGACTAACTCTATAATGTCGCCTGCTCTCAAATGCTGAGAGTGCCGGATGTTTTATCAAGAGCTAACTAATGTTGCGTAGAGATGGCCGACTGCTATTCATGCACCTAACTCTTGTTTTTTACGGCTGGTTTTCGGTTTTGTTTCAGCCAGACCAAGACCCACTAGTTAACCCGCATATGATGCAAGCTGGAAAAAGTTTCATTTGAATTGAAATACATATGGCATTATAAATGTTGGGTGAGCATATATGGAGCTGGCCGGATGCATTGCTTGCAGCCTTTGATGCCGCCTATATCAAACAGATGCTTGACATGAGGAGAAGTCCGCCTGGTTAGAAGCTCACAAATGACTTCTTCCAGAATTTACTCAGTAATTAAGATTCACCTTGGGTAAGAGCTTCCTCACGATAATTGCAACGGAAACAATTGACAATCCTCAATAGGGTGCCGCTTGTTTTTACATGACTAGCCGTTTAATCATTGCTTTGGTTGCAAGGGCCACCTGATTTAATCATTACTGCCGCCTAGTTGGCAAGGACCGAATGTTTAGCAGCTGCATAGATTGCCGTTTGTTTGCATTTCATCGTTAGCATGGTCGGATGCGTTGCACCAACCGACTGCTCATGGGGTGTTCTTGTTTCTTTATATGAGCACCTGTTGTTCTCCCACTTGCCGCCTGCTCATACCACAGTTGCATCGAAACCATTCGTGTTAGTAGCTAGCATCGTGTTCACCAAATTTGCATGTTTAGGCAAGCTTTCCACTACCACTGCAAGTATGAAGAGCAGTAGTAGCATGCGCATATTAAACCATAGCAACAACATATATTGGCCGGCTGGTTAAAAATACCATCTTGATGCCGATTGCTTGTGCTATGTCAAGAAAGGTTTTGCAAAGGTGATGTTGGATGATACTTTGATTAGTTTGAGAACTAAGAGAGGTGCCTTAAGTATCCATTTTCGGCTTCAAGGGTGTAATGCTCACAACGTTTTGAGAGTCGATTGTATGCTAGCGTCTATGGCCCTCATTAAAGAGTTCCGGCTATTTTAGAGCTAGTAGGCCGACTGCTTTGTGGCTGAGTTGGAGCCGATTGCCGCCTACTAGCTTTGAAGAACGAAGCCTGGGTGTTGGTTTGTTCAAGAAGCATAAGGGCCATTACTCCACCTAGCATTTGTGAATCGTTTCAAAAGCTGAGTGTTTAGTGGGCGACGGTTATGATCATGTAAGTCTTGTTTGGTCTCCATGTTATACGACACATGCCTTGGTTTATATACCCTTGGTATTGTGCCTTGTCACTTGAAGAGTCGCCTCCTTGTTATGATCACATGGGACTTTGCCACCTAGTTGGTCTAAGTGACGTGTGGCTAGCAATGTGCTTCTCACGTAATGATATGAAGTAGTCAGCGCTTGATTCCATGTTTACCAGCCTACAAGCTTGACCATCCGACTCCCAACATTTGTTCGTATGACGCATGCAGTACTTGGCCGCCTGGCCGGATGCTCGGAGGCTGGTCTTCTACCGGCTGTACCCATTGAGTGTCATGCTAGGCGCATGTAACTTTAATCGGGGTTGGTTAGACCTGGCCGACTACTTATATTGCCGCCTGGTCTATTAATTTAGCATGGGCAAGAACTATGTCGGCTGTACCCTGTGAGTGTTAGCACACTTTTGTGAGGGTGAGTGCTGCATGTCTGACTCTCATGGTTAGATTTTGAATACCTCATGGAGGTATGGTGGAGACTGTCTTGAAAATCAGACGTAGAGGCCGACTCTGATAGTCGGTCATTCTTCTTCTGCTCCAGCAACATTCAAGCATCAGAGAATGTTCTCTTTGACTCGTCCGGTTGAACATAACGGATGTGCTTTCTCTTCCCTGGTGAAGGGAAGTGATACTTCGTTTAGTCGATCACTGGCGACTGCCTTACCCCAGGCTCTGGCTAGGGGGTCGCCACACGATCCTTAACAAGTCTAGTTCTCCCGGGGTGGGAGGACGTTCTGGCCGACTGTTCCTTTGCGGGAACAGGCGTTCTCTTTTTGATTAGCTCCTGGATTTCTCCCTTGAAACCTCTCATGAAAGACATGAGTTCGTTCCTGGTAACAGGAGCAGACCCCTCGACCGCCTGTTGAGGCTCAGGCGGTGGGACGGGTACGTCGAGCTCTAAGGGACCCGTCGGGGGTCGTGTGAGTCTCGACATCGATTTCATTGTCGGTGTCCTGGTCCGACTGAACCAGGGGGTCGTCCATGGGACGCTTATCACTTAGAATCGGTACAGACTGTGATGCCATCTCGAAAGTACTCTCCCCACAGACGGCGCCAAAATGTTTCGGGGTTTTCTGATGTCCTGCGGGAGAGTTACAATTCCGAGACTGGAACCGGACGCCTGTACCTGCAAAACAAACGGAGACTCCTTGTGGTAGGAGCTCCGCCTCCGACGATCAAGTTAGTACTTGTTTGAGGAGTGATAAATGCGGAAAGTAAAGGTAGGAGATCTGGTTCCTCTAGGGGAGGAGTGATCAATGTGTTTTGGTTTTCTCTAGGTGAGAGTCATTAATTTCTGCATCCCCTTTAATGAGGATTAATTAAGTATTTATAGTCTTGAGAAGCGTGCCAATCCTAGGTTTAGGTTAACCAGGACAAATTGGGCTTCTCTCGGACTTTGGGCCTTGGTGGCCATTTTGCCTATTTGGCATATGGGTGGCCACGTGGCGTGGCCTGATTAGTCCATGTTGGACCTCATAGGGTGACAAGTGGCGGACGCTGATTGGCCCACGTGGTGGACACGTGGCAGCTCCGGATTGGTCCATTTGTCATGGGTAATTTTTACCCTAAACACATACTACACTGATTTAAAATAGTCTCACCCTTTTGACTATGTGCCATTTTTTCATATCAATTTCGAGTTCTTTTTACAAACATGTAAAATAGAAACTTTTGTTCAGTTCACATATTTTAAGAAAGAAAAGATCAAATAAGTTTTAAGAATAAAAGTTCTGATAAGAGTTAATAATAGGTATCCAAATTTAAATTACAACTAAAATAACTTTTGATAAAGTCTAATAAATTTCGTAATATAAATTAAGTAAAAATAAAAAAAAAATCGACATTGTCATACATTGACAAAAGTTAAAGTCAAAATATAATTTTAAACGATATTATCAAAATTTGCAATTTTATGATCAAAAGCAACAAGGATTGGTTTAGGAATTTAGGGAGGCGTAAGCAAGGTCTTCAGATCAAACACTCCGTTGGACCGGCCCAAATTCATCCTCCCATCATTCATTATTGTTATTTTTCGTTACTCTTCATAAGAAATTTTCTCATAGTTCCAAAAATTATGCAAAATTCATATTAAATTATTAATAGTCATGAGAAACTCTACATACTAGTAAATTATCAAAAGATACATTTTTTTTGACACGCAAAAGAAACATTTATCTCAAATTAAAAACCTCCATTTACAAAGTTATTTAAAAGTGACTATCAACTAAATTAATTGGTAAAACATAAAAGGTCATACCACTCGTACCCATGACCCGAAAGGCTGAGATCAAATTTCTGCTAATCAATGTCTTTGTGAATCTTTAATGCGAATTTATTTACTCTCTTCATTTTTAAATACTTGCTCCACTTTTCATTTTCGGCCGTTTTAAATTCTTGATCCATTTCCTTATTTGGAAAACTTTTATAATATTTAATTCATTTCTTTTAACTAGTGAACCCAACATAAGTCATATTTTATTAATTTCATATTCTCTCTCCTCCAATACTCTCAACTACTTTTGCTTTTTAGTACGAAGTATTTTTATTTTTCCACCTACCCCACTACCTCCATATTTTATTACTTTCTCCAATTTCTCTTAAAACTCCACGTATGGAGAATAAAACAAGTATTTAAAAATGAAGGAAATAGTAAATTGAACATGAGTAACCACTATTAATTATTAATCCTTATTCAAACGTATTTAACTTGTCACAGATTCACAAAATTCTCTGAATTCGGAAGAAGGTCTAACCAACTGAACAATCTGTAACACGCGGAATTACGGAGTACTAAAAAAAATGCCCAAAAACCAAAAACAACATAGACCCAAATAATAACACACTAATTGTCTAGGCCCAAAATCCAGTTTCTCTCTTCCTTCTTCACACTCACTCACTTCTCTCCACTTCCAGAAAACTCAACCTGTAAAACTAAAACCCTTTCCCCAATTTTCTCTCTTCCTTCTTCACACTCACTCACTTCTCTCCACTTCCAGAAAACTCAACCTGTAAAACTAAAACCCTTTCCCCAATTTTCTCTCTCCTTTACCCTACCCTAAAACCCCTTTTTCTCAAATCCCTCAATTTTCCCGCGACAATAATACCCACCTCAAAAAACCCCCAATTCAATTGATGATGAATTCCTCAACTTCATCATCATCCAAGCATGAACAACCGCCATTTTTACCAATTTCCCAATTTCAGCAAGCTTTTACAACTTGTTCTTCTTTCCTCAACAATTTCTCTTCTTCTTTTACTAATCACCTCAATACCCACCTCGCCAATTTCGCTTCTACTTCTTCTTGTTCGTTCAAATCCCCGGGTTTTGCTCGAATTCAGCAACTAGAGGTAAACCCCATTAATGTTGAGCAGTTGCAGAAGCCGCGGCAGCAACAATATGGGATGTCGAATGAAGCGATTGAGGAGAGATTAGCTGGGATTGCTGTTTATGCTTTGAGTAATTCGAATGAAGAATTTGTGTTGGTTTCTGGGAAGAAATCGAAGAATTCGCTTGCTTTGTTTTGTTTAAAGGAGGAAGATGCTGATACTCTTCTTGATCAGATGAGATTGATGGACCCCAACATGCGTCGTGGGGCTAGTGTTGTTCCTGTTGCTTTGAATAAGGTTAATTTATTTCTGAAAGTTTTGAGCTTATATTATGCTAATTATCTAATCTTATTTAATTATTTACTTGCATTATCTAATTGGTGTTGTTAATTGATGAGCATGAGTTTTATGAGAAGATTTTAGCTTTTTTGGTTGATGAAATTCCCAAATTGTTAACCTAAACTATAATCAATCCATCAAAATGGGATGGTTCATTACATCCACATTGGTGCAATTAGCTGATGGGAAGTGCTACTTTGCAGAAATGGGGTTTTGAGGGGCGCAAGGCGGAGTAGAAGGAGGGTGGGGGGGGGGGGGGGGGATGGAAATCAGAGTTGGGATGTTGCAAATTGTCCTTTAACTAAGGTGGTATTGTTAAGTTTGAGGGGTCAAGGGTTCTGAATATGATAATGAAACTTTTGGTGGATTGTATCAATAATATGGTACATTAGTTGTTTGTGTACTGGTGAAGTGACTGATCATTGCAGTTGGATCAATGGTTAATAAGTTTATTGCTGGCTTTTTTTGATTATATTTGGCGAATGTTCATTTTGGATTACATTGACTAGTGTGAGCTAATAATAGCACGTGTTTATTTTACTGTGCGACTCATAACTAATGAAGAGACAAATGGTATGTGCATTGGCAGGTTTTCCAGCTTAAGGTGAATGGAGTTGCTTTCAGATTGATTCCGGAGGCATCAGAGGTTAAAAATGCTTTGAAGGTGAGTTTTTTTTTTTTTTTTTTTTTTTTTTTTTTAATTTTTTTATTTATTTTATTGACTGTTAAGCATGGTGGCATTCGTATGATTGGTTGTTGTAAAAAATGAAAACAGCCATTGGGGGCTCACTATTCATTTGCCATTACTGAAAACAGTCATTGCTTGGTTGAGTATGTGTGTTGTTGAGACTTGGGAATGGTGTATACTTTCTTAAGAGCTTTATCTGAACAAAGTTTTGGTCTGTTTTGTATAATCAGCTGTACTCGTTTTTGCTATATGAAGGCAATCATTCTTTTCTCATAGCTGCTGCAATTTCATGAATCTGGTTAAAGAATCATTTACAATTGTAGTAACTGGGTAGTTGAAGGATAAGAAGAATTATTAGGACATAGAATATTATATCTGGGGTTGGAGGTCAAATCTTCAATTTTTTTCCTGTTTCATGAAAACATAATTCCTAATATCCTCTACTGACAATCTATTCGGCTATAAATTCAAGATTTTCTTTCCTTTTTTGAAATTTGTTTTCAGTCAAACTGTGTTACGGATGCTTATCTTCATCCTACAAATCATCAATAACTTGAAGACTTGTCTAAGAGAAATTGAGCTACTGTGTTAGCTTGAATCTTGTTCTTGTGTCATTGCACTACTAAGATGTTCTTGTCTGGAAAGTAGGATTGAGATGTGTTTGGTATTGGGGTACAAAAGTTTACAGATATCGACTATTGCTGGTAGAGGTGTCCACCGTGCGGGTTGTGCGAGCTGGGTTAGGGTTAGGTGGGTTGCGGGTTGGGGTTTCATGGCACATGACATGACCCATCTAGGGTAGGGTGGGCCGGGTCGTGTGTTGGGATAGAGAAATTGGACTCACCAGGGTTAGGTTCGTGGGTTAGATGGGTCGTCGGTGGGTTGAGATAGGTTCATGGGTAAGACGGGTCGTGGGTGGGTCGAGCTGGGTTCGTGGGTTTGATGGGTTGGAGGGTAGGTCGAGATGGGTCGGAGGATGGGTCGAGCTGGGTTTGTGAGTTGGGTGGGTTCGTGGGTTTGGGTTGATCTGGGTTCGTGGGTTAGGGTCGGATGGGCCAAATGGCTAAGTGGGTTGTGTGGGTCAAATATCCAAGTATGTTTTTTTTAATAGTTTTGAACTTTTATTTTGAAATAATATTTTGCACATATTTATTTTTAAGGTTGTTTAATTTTTACAAAATTAATAATTTGTTGGCTTGCTCTTAATTAAGATGCCTATGTATCCTTATATCACAAAATAAGGAATCAAAGCCAACGTAATTCTTATAATTCTAATAGATTTTCCAAACCTACAGCTTTGACATCGGGGTCAAGAATAGCAGCAATTCCATAAATGATTGGGAATTCACTAAAATAAGTATGCCACTTGCATTTCATGCTATCAAGAACGGACGAAGTCCATCAATTTTCTTTTGCTCTTCGATGGTTTGAACAACTTTAACACACTCCAATATGACTAGATAGATGTTAGGCTCATAGATATAAGAGAAAATATGAGTTGCATTATCAAAAACATTTAAAACATCACGAACAAAAGAGGCATCAGTCCAATGACTTTCGGGTTATTAACTCACTAGGATCAACACGGGTCTCATTGTAAAGTTGGGTCAAAACGTCACGATACTTTATAGCATCGTTCAACAAATTGAAAGTAGAATTATATTCCAACGGGTAGGGGTATCTATAGATCATTTGTCTTTTCTTAAGACCTCTCTCTTTACTCATAGCCATGTACTTCCATCTAACCGAGGAAGTAATCCTAATTCATTGTATAACAGTTCGATCTAATTGAGTTTAGCAATGGTTGCAACTCACCGAGACCCTCTTGAACACACAAATTCAAAATATGTGCATAACATCTAACGTGCAAGAGATTACCACCCAACAACAAATTCAACTTGGAGTCATTTTTCAAATAGTCAATACACATTGTGATTGCAATTATATTATCAAGAGACAAAGAAAAAACTTTACCATTCAAGTGAAATTCTCTTAAACAATCCATAATACGAACTTTGATGTTAAAACCGGTATGCCTTTCTTCCATAGCTTGAAAACAAAGTATACGTTTTTTAATAAACTAATCATCATCCATCCAATGAGCAGTAATGCAAAGAAAAGATCCGGCAAAACAAGAAGTTCATGTATCACTTGTAAAACTAATACGACTATCAAAAGTACAAAATAATTCAATCAAATCACTCCTATACTTATAAGAAGAAGTTTATGTAGGCCGTGTGGGTTGGGTGGGTGGGCCATGCGGGTTAGGCGGGTTGTGCGTGCGGGGTGGGTTCGAGTCGTGGGTTGTGCAGGTTGGGCGTCCAAGGTGGGCTGGGTTGTGCGAGCTGGGTCGGGTTGGGTGGGTTCACGGGCCAGGTTTGTCGAATTAATGGGTCAAAACGGATTGTGTGAGTTCGGCCGAATCAACCTGGTTAAAGCGAGTTGGGTTGAAATGGGTTGTGTCGAAAATGTTGGACCCACGACACAACCCGGGCTGTGCTGGGTTGGTACCGAGTTGAAACCGGGTCGGACCCACGTGACCCACCAGCCGTGCGGGTCAGGGTGGGCGAGGTCCATCCCGGCCCACTAGCCACCTCTAATTGCTGGAATGCTGGTTAGTTTAAGCTTCTAGATTTATGAACCTTTTGTGACTTTGATAAGAGGTTGAACTTGTCTGCTTTCCATGTATCAATTTATCTCTCAAAATAGCCAAGTTAGACCATATTTCCTTTTGAGATTCAGTGTATGGACCTTGCTTGCTTAATATAGGGTTAGATTTTGGTGACATTCTTCATTGTTGTCGTGTTAGCTGTTTTATCTGTGTGCTAAGTTTGTAGAAATACTGGGTGCTTTTCTGTTGTTTGGTTAGCATTGGGTCATTACTTGCCTCCTTTAACCTTCCTAGACTCATATTGACCAATGATTTGTGAATTTATTTTGTGCAATTTTGTATTGCTTTAAATATTTTTTATTATTAGAATTTTATATGTGAAAATTGAACATCAAAGCAGATCATCTCTTCAACCATAGACACATAATCATATGTACAAACTTTTGGAAATTGAATTTATTTCAGTGTGAATGCATCCATGCAAGGGCGGAAAGTTTCATTCAATTTACGTGTGATTTCTATGCTTCCAACTAAATCTTCCCTTTAAATTTGTAGGAAAGGCAAAAGGCTGGAATTTCTGAAGAAGAATTCTTAGGGGTTCCAGTTTTCCAGGTTTGTTTCTATTTTGATGTTTATTGTTCTTTGGGTAGGGATTGGGGTGTTTTGACTAAATGTTGATTTGCTTTGAGTGGCTTTGTTACTTAGGATGCTTGGAACTTTGGAAGTATTGCCTGTGAGTTTGTGTAAAGTAAATCAAATGCCATGAAACACATAGATCTAGGGACAATTTGAAGTCTTGTTTTACTAGAAGTTTCTGCAAACATTACAGAAAACTATCCTCTACTCTAAAGGTCCTGAAACTGTTAGATTAATGAGTTTCAGTTTTTTTTTTTTTTTTCCTTTCATCACTATGAATCCTTTCCCCAGTCCCCCTTCTTTGTTTTTTTGTTGAAATATGAATTACAGAAATTGGTCTGATTAGTGGGACAATGGGGCACAATCTTTCTTCATTTTTATCTCATTCGAGGATCATAAACTAATTGTAGCTACTACCAGCTATTCTATTCTCTTGGTCCTTATAAATTTGGCTATGTCCCTTGCTCTAACTTTTACTACGCTTAAGTCTATATTAATCTATGTATTGTTTCATTACAGATTCCAGAAATTGTAGATCTAACCCCCTTCTCTTTAGTTGACTCTTGTCTCTCTTCCTTTCAGCTTCTGAAAAAATTTGGCTTTGAAAATTGTCAACATGGATGAAATTCCAATCAACATATTGTTATGCATCAGTATCAGTGAGAGGAGTACTTTACATGAAAATTCAGTAATGACTAATTTAGTGGCTTGAGGGATAATATTGCGAGAAATTGAGAGGAAAAGCACTATATACAGCAGTACAGGACATATTAGAGGGAGGAAAGGGAGATTGAATATTGATGAGTATTTTGTTTAGCATTCAGATTGCTAATTGGAGAGAATCAATCCTCTTGAAAGCTTGAATATCCGTTATTCTTCTGTAATTCCAGTTCCTTAATAAAAACCATTTTCTCCTTCCCCAATTTCTTCCATTAATACTGTCTAAGCTATGTAAATTCATAGCACATTCTTCATTATTGAATCTTTTTTTATCTTTTGACTACATATCAACCCTAAATTAATGTATTCTTTTGTGAATAAAAACCATTTTCTCCTTCCCCAATTTCTTCCATTAATACTGTCTAAGCTATGTTAATTCATAGCACATTCTTCATTATTGAATCTTTTTTTATCTTTTGACTACATATCAACCCTAAATTAATGTATTCTTTTGTGAATAAAAACCATTTTCTCCTTCCCCAATTTCTTCCATTAATACTGTCTAAGCTATGTTAATTCATAGCACATTTTTCATTATTGAATATTTTTTTATCTTTTGACTACATATCAACCCTAAATTAGTGTATTCTTTTGTGAATTATCTGGTGAGATGTTTCTGTGAACTGGTTGGGTCAATTTATATTATGTTCTGTTACTTTGAAGCTAGAATGGTTGGCAATCATATCTTTTATGTATAAAATTGTAGCTTGTAAACAGTAGATATGTGTTTGATGTGAGCGAGACTTTGACCAATATGTTGAGTCGTTGCTTCAAAATATTTTGGTGACAAAATGAGGAGTCAACTCTAGGGCTTATCCTAAGGAATCTAATGTCTAGTATCCATTTAGACCTTTATATATATCTTCGTTTTTTTTTCTTTGAATTTTGATGCTCAACAAATTCAACAATGTGCAATTGTGCATGGTTCCCATTAATGTAATACTGTTATTTAGCCACATGAAATGCCCTACCCTTTTCTGATAGTTAATGATTCTCTTTCTGATGAGCTCAAATGTTAGAATTTTGCCTTTTCTCCGTGATATACTTTGAGTATGGATGAGAATCTGGAAAACTTTGTTACACAGAATATGTTAAGGAACAGGATTGCTTATCCTTGTTGAATGCAAAATATTAGGTTTAATAATTATTTCTTCAACCAAGATTAGATCAATTCCATATAATAACTCAATTTTTTTTTCTTATGGAAGTATTAGCCAAAATCATTTACTACAGTAGTATATATGAAGTTAAAATATCTTCTCAATCGGTCAGAGCTAGAATTCTAACCTTGTGTCAGGACCTACGGGCCAAGGGACAGTCTCAGGTAGACAATGTCTATGGGGCGTAGGCCTCCCGAAAGGTAACAGAGGTGTGCAAAGGTTTCCTCGGGCCGGACGGAGATTGGCGATTGCTACTAATTCATATCTTTTCCGTTTGTGATCCACAGCTTAGATTAGTGTTTTTAGTTCATAATTTTCCTGCTTAAATTATTCATGCAACCTTGTATGTTACAGTTGAATTTTTGACCTGCTTCTGTTAAGACAGCTTAGACTACAATTTTACAGCATCTGATGGACAAGATGCTTATTTGTACCATTTTAGGCTTTCTTTAGTAGCTATATTGCTTGTTACTTCATCATGAATTATCCATGTAATAATCTTCAACTCTTTTACATGTCAGTCCCGGAGTTTAATTTTAAGCAGCGACAAGAGGAAATACCGTCCTGTTTTCTTCAGAAAGGTTGGGTATCTCAACTTGCAGAAAGATTTCTAATTTTTTTTTTTTTTTCTTTTTTTGTCCATTGTATTTTTAATTTAACTCCCATTTCTTTTGCATTTATCTTTGGCGTAATAGGAGGACTTGGAAAATTCATTACTGAAAGCTTCTACGCTGCAAGGAAGGCTGAATCCTACTTATAGACAAGGAGATATTGAAGTATGTGTTTTTCATGGCCCACGACTTTTCTAGTCTAGCTGTAGTTTTTATTCTCCTAACATTTTTTCTTCACCCTTTCAATATCGCAGGTAGCTGTTCTTGAAGACATAATTAAGGGAATGAAGGTATATTAAGTCTTTGCCACTATAATTTCCCAAGACATTAGCATCATAAAAGTAGATATATTGATTCTTAAACTGCTGCATTTTGAAGAGATTCATTAACCTTACGTTCAACTGAACTTCTGACACGTAATAAAGAACATGGAGCCATTATGCACTGCTGCTCACTGAATTCTTTGTGTACTGCACCTAATTCTGCTTTCTTATGGCTTTAGAAATAGAGGATAAAACCTACTCTGATTCAGTCATTTTCTCAGGGTCCTAAGCTTTTAGATAGTTGACCCTCTATCCCCGCCCCACCCACCCACCCAACCCCACCCCACCCCACCCACATTCCCAACCATAGGGACCATAGGTTAGGCGAAATTACCATATAGACCTAAGCTTCTCTGCTTTTTTTCTCGTACGAAACATTCTTTTAATACTGAAAATCTGAAATTTAACATCAGAGAATAATTTTGCAGGATGATTCTTCTCGGAAATGGGATGATGTCATTTTCATCCCACCTGGATTTGATGTATCAACTGATCCTTCACAGGGCCGTGCATCTTCAGCTAAGTAAGTGATTTAACTGTGATTATCCCGGACTTAGCTTAGTATATTCTCTTTTGTCCTTGCGGTGGTGTTAACCAATGCTCTAAAAACTGATGCCTGGGTGTTTCATGCTATACTCAGTAAGCTTTGTAATTGACTAGTGCCAAAACATAGATACTATAACTGTAGTCACATTTGTGGTTTATTGACTCCTTCCCGATTAACTGATGTTGTTTACAAACCCCCCTCCCTCTAAAGGGACAAGTGGTGATGAGAAGAAATACAACTTTATGATTAACACCCTCTTGTCAAGTTACTAATTAAATGTGTCTACCTTAATTATTACTTCGTATTTGCTTCGATGGTTTCCTGTCTAGTCTGATAATGATGACATTTGGTCTATAGTTTTATTTGACACTTTAATTTCTAGGCATTTTAAAACTTCACTACCAGCCGCGAATAGATCTTATTGGCCTTAGCTTGCCAGGCTTGCTCAAACCTTAACTGTTTCGGTATCTGTTTACGGCCTGATGCTTAGGGGTAAGGGCCAAAACTATCAGCTAAAACTCATCAATGTAGCTCTTAACCGCTAGCTAACCCTAGAGCTTGTTAACACTCATTTCGGATAATTCGAGTAACAAACGAATATACGAATTTCGCTAGCAGGAGATGAAATTCCAGCTTGCACTTTACACAAAAGGCGTCATGAAAAGTTTATGTTTAGCATAATACATACCATTTGATTCACTTTAGGTCAAGGGATTTCCTGGATGTCATCAATTTCGAACCCTTTCTTGTTTAAATTGTTATATACCATCTTTTGGCATCTTCACAGGTTCTCTACTCATCATAAAAATACTCTTTCATGATTTGCAGCTGTAAATTCCTCTTTTGAGTTGTTATTGGCTAAGAATGTGCAAAGCCAAAAAAAGTTTAGTGTTTTTTTTTTTTTTTTTTTTTTTTTTAAATTTATTTATTTTTGAAAGGTAAAGCCAAAAAAAGTTGAGGAAAGCAAAAGGCTAAAAACCAATGTTTCTAAAGAATCCACCATTTTAAATTTGGAATGAAATAAATTATTCAAGTCACTGGTTATCCGTGACGTGGGCCCATCTAGTTGTGAGGCCCACAATAATAGTAATAGTTGGGCCAAATGAGAGGCCTATAAGATTTTACGGAGTACTAATTTAATGGCCAACGGTTTGTTAGGAGCATACTATTCATCCATTTATAGCTTTTTCGTTCGAAAGTGGGATCAACAATTCTTTATGGGGAAAAGTTTGAAAGAGGTAATTATATCAAAGTATTTCCAAATAACAAGTATGGTATCATCTTTTTGATGGCATACATCAAAGTGTTTCTTTTTGAGTCTTGCTAATTGTCTGACAGTTAGACGTATATTAAAAAGGGAGTGAAATATAGTATGAAAGTGTCAGAATTGTAAAAATGAGTTGAAACTAAATTAAGTGAAACTATGGAATTCAAAATGAGGTTCAAGAAAAGTTCAATCTATGTATAAAAGAACATGTATATAAACCTAATGGAAATAAAATTATGACAAAGTATTACACTATTGAGTTGAATTGAAGAGAACAACCATGATTAGCCACACCATTATTACACCACACGACCATATGAATTGAAGAGCATATATATGGTTTAACATACAATTTCAATGATGGTTAAGATTATTGGCTGAACTAACATAATATGTCTTATATTAAACTCATGCTATTTTTGATACATGAAAAACATGATAGGATCCCTTACACAATTCATGCTCATAATTCATATGCTACTGAAATACTATTTCAAGTTAATATACCCTTTATCATCCTTCATAACATACTATTTCTTAGTTACAAGTTTACAACTACCCAATGTCTTTGGCTTCATAACTCATGAATAATGTAAATCAACTTATAATTAAAGCTAATAAAAAAATAAACACATTTTTTTAATCAAGCAAACTCATGAACAATAGTATGTGTACAAAGTACAACTAGAGCTGTGAGCTAGTCACCTATTGTGACTCAAAATTTGGAACAAAGAGATAAGGATGAAGATTTTGACTCCATTGAAACACACAATGACAAAATCTAATCATACAATAAAATCATGGAGAACAATAAAATGGATAAGCTTATAATAAAAATATAAAATTATGTGAGATAGATTATACAATAAAATACACCTCTCCAAAGTTTGTTAAGAACCAATAGAATCAAGAATGTTCTGAAAAAAAAAAACCTGTAATAATGTAATTTTAAGACAGTATCTTCCTTTCTGGCATCCAACCATGCACCACCCAAGCAATTTTCACAACCATCACCTCATAAAAAATCCAATGAAATTAAAGAAGAGATAATTACTAAAAACATCATCTTCTGAATTTTCTGTCTTGATTTTTGGGTTTTGGGCTAAAGCTTTGATGGGGCCCATAACCCATAAAACTCAGTGTTATCTTCATTTTTTTTTGGTAAATGTGGTCCCACTTTCTCTCTAATTGGATCCATATTGGATAGTGAAATTTTCTAAAAACCAAAGGTTCAACTATTGACTAAATGATGTGGACTATTTAATTCTCTTGGACTAGATGATTTGTTATTATAATTGATAGTACAAGCTCAATTTCAACATTAAGTATTGTATTTATAATTGAGACTGATGTAAATGATAGTACGGAGTATAATATTTGATCTCAAAAAATATCACATTAGTTGATTTGTGTATTAATTTAGTCATGATGTATAGTAGAGTGAAAAAAAGATATAGTCAAAATGTTTAGGTGAATGTAAGTTTTTTGATGAGCAGGCATCATTTTCTCTAGTTAAGATTCTCTTTGAGATGTTTCAATTTCAAATCAACTTTTATTTCTTTATGTCACACACTTAACTAGTGTTAGTTAGATTACTATGATATCAGTACATACTAATTTGTCATCAAACAACCCGATGTGCACTAAATGTAAGCAATCTCTCAAGATTTTTTTTTTTCTTAGAAAAGATACACGATTTATAATTAGATTCGTCTTCTTTCAAAAGATATCAACAAGTTTTAAACATGTATAACCAATATAAAATCATGATAAACAAGTATAAAGAATAGAGAATCTTTATCTTAAACACCTACAATGGCTACAAACAAAACAATTACTCATCAAAACATTTGTATTATAATATTTGTTACTAATTTTAAAAAGTTATCCAAGAAAAATATCATTAATGAGTCAAAATCACAAAATAGTTATCCATCACATAAATAAGTAGGGTACCTACCCACCCCTATTTATAAAATTTAAAATTTACAAGCTACATGCTAATATAGTAATAAAACCATTGAACAAAATAATAAAATTGACCCATCAATAATACCATAATAAAGAGACAAAATTCCTAAAAATAGATTCATGTACCCTTTATTTCACTTCACCATACTATAAACAAATTAAAAAACCTTCCAAAAAAGATACTAATAGTCCTCAAAAATTAGTAAATGACCCATTTATAAGGGTACATCGTATAGTATATAGTTTTAAATTTGGTATTTATTTTACCCCAGCTGGCACCAGTATACCTCCAGCTGGTGCCCTTAAACTCCCCACTTCATTACACCATACCTTACTACACGCTCTTCCATTGATTCCTTCAATCATTTCTTCCTCTTTATATACCCCTCAATTTCATCACTTTTAAATTACAAGATCAAAAAATTACAAGACAAAAATAAATATATATATATATATATATAATATCCTCTCTAAAATATTATTTATAAAATTTTTGTGTTTTTGACATTTTTGTCTAGGAAAAAAAAAATGGGAAAAGGGGTTTTAGTGATCATGGTAATGGTTGTAGCACTAGCATTGAGTGTTGTTGTTAATGGGGGGAATTTTGATCAAGATTTTGAGGTTACATTTGGTGATGGAAGAGTTAAGAAGTTTGGGAGAGGCCAACTTCTTACTCTTTCTCTTGATCGGGTTTCGGGTTCGGGTTTTCGGTCTAAGAGGGAGTATCTCTTTGGAAGGATTGATATGCAACTTAAACTTGTTGCGGGTAACTCTGCTGGAACTGTCACTGCTTATTATGTAAGCCCACCATTTTAGTATAGTATAGTATAGTATCTCCTCTGTTTTTAAGTGTAGTCGAGTTCAGTATAACATACAAATATCGTTAGTTGTCACGTTAATAGTTTTAAATTATACGTTATGTTATAGGATTTAAGTTTATACCAACTAATTTCGAACTTACTAGTTAATGAAGTAATAACATATACAAATGAGATTGCTATAGTTTAGCTAACTAGTTGGTACTCGTAAGTAATAAATCGTCTTCCTCACTTGTGTGACTATAAGTGGTTATTTAGTTAGACGTAGTAGTAGACTAGTAGGTTGCATACCTAAACATCCTTATCGCAATGCGACTTCTTATATTCTTCCATCATATAAACTAAGTGACCACTTTAATTTCCAATATTTCAAAGTTCTTCAAAAAGGACTAGACTAAAACAAACTTCAACGTCATGTCAAACTTATGATATTTTTAATATATTAGTTTAGGTCATACTCATATAATTGTACACTAGCTTATTAGTCCACGTCCTCATTTATTTTTAGAAGTAACTTATAAACAAACAATCGTATTTATTGCTATTATAAAATATAAGTCGCATCACCTAAGTTGAGAGACGATGATAAGAGTAGTAGGGTCCACATGAATTTTATGTTGGAAATATTTTTAATTCAAAAAAAAAAAAAGAAAAAAGGTGGTGGTTAGTTTATTGCTTTTGCACAAATTGCACGAGAATAGAATATATGGCATCGACGTAGTTTTGGTCGTATTATTAGTAAAGTAGTGCCAATAATTCATTTGATGTCAATTCATAACTTCAAATATCACTTTTTTTTAATCTACATAAATTAAACATCCTTTTCAAAGGAATAACACAAAAACAGATAATTATATAGGCATAACAATACAAATCATAAGAGTCCAAAGGAGCATATAATAATAATGTTATAAATTTAAAGATGTTAGAAAATTAGTTGTTACATCTCATTGTTAGACCGAGTAATAAGAGAACATGAAAATAATCTCATTATTGGTCATTTATTTAATATTCTACGTAGTAGTATATACTATAGTGTGTGACGATTGAACTTGTGTTACGTATGCAGTTATCATCGGAAGGAGCAACCCATGACGAGATAGATTTTGAGTTCTTAGGAAATGTAAGTGGCCAGCCTTACACACTCCACACTAATGTGTTTACTAAAGGAAAAGGTGGTAGGGAACAACAATTCCATCTTTGGTTCGACCCAACCTCAAAATTCCATACCTATTCTGTCGCTTGGACCCCTCGTATGATCATGTAAGTACGACTTTAGTTTCGTTCATTAAGGGCAAATGAGTAAATTTACACGATCTATTCCCGACAATAATTAAAATATATTTGTTGCCTAAATACTAATTATTACTGGATTATTATTAATCGAATCGACTTGATTAATTCATGCAGATTTTTGGTAGACAACACTCCCATTAGGGTATTCAAGAACCATGAAGCTAGAGGAGTGCCCTTCCCAAAGAGCCAACCCATGAAGGTATACTCGAGCCTATGGAATGCAGACCAATGGGCTACCCAAGGAGGCCGCGTTAAGACAGATTGGGCTAAGGCTCCATTCACGGCTTACTACAGGAACTTCAACGTCAACCCTAACCACGCGACTGCAACCGCGGCCTTCACTGATGCAAAGTGGCAAAACCAGGAGCTAAATGCTTGGAGCAGAAGGAGACTAAGATGGGTTCAAAAGTACTTCATGATCTACAATTATTGTACTGATGCACAAAGGTTTCCAAAAGGTGTTCCTAGAGAATGTAGGATGTTTTGAAATGTTAAGTGGTATGGAATCAATGTTGTTTAAATCCTTGCATTACTAGTGTATTGCAAGTTGATTAGCTTTTTAATCTGCATCCAATTTTGTATTAAATGGGTTAAGTAAATAATTTTTTTTTCTTCATTGTAAGATTGTGTAATTCTCCTCAGTGGAGGCTTTCTCATTAGTCAATATATAGGTGACGGTACAACCTAAATATGAGAATACAATATTTACTAAATTACACACAAAATATATCTAACAGAATATATACGAGATTATTAACCATAATCTCTATCACAACCCCGCAGTCGAAGCGGGAGGAGGTTGTTGAACGCTGAGAATAGATCTTAAGTCAAGGAATAGCTGCCGAGGTAATCCTTTTGTGAAAAAGTCTATGTACTTGTATGGAGAGGGAACATGAAGCACCTTAACTTGGCCTAGATCAGCGTGACCTTGTTGCGTATAAAATGAATGGCCATCTCGATGTGCTTGGTATGTTGATGTTGTACCGGATTCCAAGACAAATAAACATCAGAAATGTTATCACAATAAACCAAGGACACCCTTCGCAAAGGACAATGTAGCTCTAGAAGCAGATTCCAGAGCCAACAAACTTCGGCAACAACATTAGTGACATCTCTATATTCTGCTTCGGCACTAGAAAGGGACAAAGTAGCCTGTCATTTTTCATACCAAGAGACTAGATTATCACCCAAATAAACACAATACCCAGAGGTAGAACGCCGAGTATCGGGGCAACCACCCCAATCGGCATCTGTGTAAGAAACAAGTCTCGTAGGAGCCGAACGGTACAAATGAAGGCCGTGATCCATAGTGCCTCTGATATATCTAATAATACGCTTGAGAGCATTGAAATGCGGTTCCCTCTGGTCATGCATAAATAAGCATATTTGCTGAACCGCATAAGCAATGGCTGGTCTAGTAAAAGTGACGTATTGAAGAGCACCTGCAAGATTCCTGTAAAGAGAGGGGTCACTAACCAGATGTCCGTCGAGAGCACCAAGTTTCGACTTGGTTTCAACAGATGCCACAACGGGTTTGCAATTATCCATCTTAGCTCTGTGAACTATCTTCTCTGCATACTTGCTTTGACTCAAAAACATATTGTCCCTGGTACGGTTCACCGAAATACCTAAATAAAAACTCAACTGACCTAGATCTGCCATGGAAAACTTTGACTTGAGAAGAGAAATAATGTCAGACTTGAGTTGTCATCAACATATAACAAAAGGTATGCAATATTCGTGCCCTGACGAAAAACAAAGAGAGAGTTATCACTCTTACTACACACAAAACCAATCTGCAGAAGGTAATTGGCAAAGCTTTGGTACCATGCCCTAGGAGCCTGTTTGAGACCATACAAAGATTTGCGGAGCCGGCACACATAAGAAGGAAAATTAGGATTCACAAATCCCGGAGGTTGATGCATATATACGGTTTCTTTAAGGACACCATGAAGAAACGCGTTTTTGACATCTAATTGATGAATAGGCCAATCTCTCCCCATAGCAATACTCAACACTGTACGAATAGTTGCCAGTTTCACCACCGGACTAAAAGTCTCATCACAGTCAATGCCAACCTGTTGAGACTTGCCATTCACAACAAGTCTCGCCTTGTGTTGCTCCAATAATTCACCATCTTCCCTGTACTTGTGTTTAAATAACCACATACAACGAATAATATTTACCCCCTTCGGTCGCGGAACAAGCTAGATCCCAAGTATGTTGTTTAGTAAGAGCAGAAAATTCCTCATTCATGGTTGCATTCCAATTATGATTAAGCAAAGCCAGTTTCGAATTTTTAGGTAGTGGTGAAATAGCTTGGACGGTTAGATTTGCTTGGTACTTGGGATTTGGCTTAAAAATCTCGGATTTGGCACGAGGGCCATTGTGTTTGCAATATACATAGTATCTGTATTAATAATCCCTTTAGGGATGGGCGTGGACGTGGCCCGTGGTACACATGAGCTTGGGTCTATTTTACTTCTATCAATGAGCTTGGGTCTAGTCCACTTCTCTCAAGTAGATAAGTCTATCATTAATTATTACTCCCTTCGTCCCATAATACTTGAGATGTGGGATTAATACGAAGTTTAAGAAAACTACAAGTGGGTCTATTTAAAATATTTGTTATTGTGTAAAATATTCTCTTTTGTATTTTTATATTGTAAGAAAACAACAAGTGAGGTAGTGAGGGGAGAGAAAATGCGGGATTTAATTGGGTTTTAAGGTTTGTATTTAATCTCAAAGAGAGTATATGAAAATATTTTTTTATTAGCGGTCTCATTTCATATTTAGTAACGTGTCAAGTATTTTATGACGGACAAAAATGAAAACTGTTTCTAGTATTATGGGATGGAGGGAGTAATACCCACACCCAAGTGTAGGTACCAATACCTACACCCTCATTCCCCACGTAACTCTATTAGCTTTAAAAAAAAAAAGTTTTTCCACCTTTTCTCTCTCCTCGTATAAATGACACATACTCCGTGTATGTATATATATATATATCACTACACATTTCCTCTCCTCAAAATATTACCCACTTTTTCACTAAATAAACACAAATACAAGGTATTAAGCTTTATAATTAGTTGCAGATGAGGTACGTACAAACGTTTGTAGTGAAGCAACCAAGGTACTCAAAGTCTCAAATAGGTTACCTCCCCAAATGACCTTGTACAACCGGTAAAACTAAGTAAAAAAAAAAAGGGAAATTAAAAATTCTGACACACATAACTTAAAGTACTAAAGTTTGGATACTTTTCACAAATTTCTTAATAGCAAGTACACTTATCATCCATTATAGCAGTTTGAGAGCTTTCTCTCCATTGAAGCAGCGTCTTCACATGGAAAAAAATGTGTGTTAGAATATATGTAAATTATTCTTTGTATATTGTTTATTTTGTAAATTACTTTCCTAAACCTAGGTTAACCTAATTATGCATGTATATATGCTCTTCGCTAATTCCCTCGAAAAAAAACATACTCTTCGCTTATGAATGAGAAGTCATCAGGCAGTATACTTCTTTCAATATGCATAAAAGAAGACAATTAAAAAACAATTAAAAATTTAAGAAAATTAATGGTTGAAAATCAGTGACGGGGCCAGGCATTTCAAACCGGGGGATAAATGAATATCGCTTAGTTTTCGACAAAAATATTAGAACAAATAAATACTTTGAAGGTTCAATGGGCACTCAAGAGGGGGGGGGGTGAATTGAGTGTTAAGTAATCGTTGGCTAATTTTGCTTCTTTTCGGATTATGTGTGAGGAACCAGTTGTGCTGGTTCCCGTACGCAGCGGAATATAAATAAGCAATAAAGAAGACAACAAATTTAACGAAACAAAGCAATAAAGAACACAACAAATTTAACGAGGTTCAGCCAACTCAGGCCTACGTCCTCCTATCCTAAGTTCTTTATTAATCTACTCCGAAAAACAAAGACAAAGAACACTCTGCTGTTCCCTACTCCGGGAACCAGCAAACCCCACACTCTACTCCGAGTGTGCTCTCGACTTACACTCGTAAGCCCAATGTGTTTGAACTCACAAACACTCACCCAGCCTTTAACCCCTTTGTTAAAGACTCAATACAAGAATCAAGAACTCCCCTTTGATCTCACTTCTACGAAGCTAATTAAGAGAAAAAGTTTAAGTACTAGAATGCTCTTGTATATGACTTGATGAATGGAATTAGTGCTTAAGTATATGCTCTCAAATAATTGCTCTTTTTAATTTCTGGAGAGGCACACGAAATATGTGAAATAAGATGAGTTTATATAAGCTTAGATTCCTAAAACCTAGTTTCCTTAAATCACACAATCTTAGAGAATAAGATATATTGTAATTTTAGGAAAGTTTTTATCTTATTTGATTTAATCACAAAGATAGAATCAATTAAGATAAATACTCCTAGTTTTTAGGTAACCAAGAATATTTCATCTTATTTCCAGCTGCACAAAATATTTTCAAAATAATCTTTTCGAAAAAATCTTTTTGTAAAATCTTTTTCCAAAAACGGCAGCTCGAATATTTCGTACAGTGAACCTGGTTCCCCGACCTGGTTCCCTGAATTGAAACATGTTATGAAACCTGTTCCAACTTTGTACCAGATTTCATATCATACTTCAATATACTTTTAAGCACTTATATAACCCAAACATGCAAGCATACTACGGAGCATATTACATGAAAACCTAGATAACATATTAAAGCATAAATCGTCTTTTCTTCATGTAATCTTCAAGACTTGAATCTTCCTTGAATACTTCTATTATGAGCAAACAATCTTTCTTCGAAATATCTTCGAAAGGCTTCTATGCTCCAAGTCTTGGAATCAACTCAACTACTGCACATGTAACATGGTTAATGCACAATAAAGAGTATGTGGCTGCTTTTCCGCATAGCAGTCAAGGAAACGGTTCATACTGGTTCCCCACCAGTACATAGCACATTTATCATCTAACTGTTTCCTGTATATAGATAAGTTAGTTCAATAGATAACTCATATAGTCAATAACTTATCTAGGGAAACAGTGTTCTATTATAGCTGGTTCCAACCAACTGTTTTCAACACTTATTAAAACCTGTTTCCCATAGCTGTTTGTCATCATTCAAAACCATCATTCAAAACCTAAGGGACTCAACAAATTCCCCCTTTTTGATGATGACAAACTTTTGAAGTTCCTGAACCTGTGGACATGCTCAAAAGGAAAACCGTCAAAAACTTCAAGGACTCAAGACTCTTTGGAACAAGTCAGTTAGGCCAACTGGTTCCCTAAACAGAAAATAGAAAATGCGAAATAAAAAGACTCAAACTGACTCAATCTAAACTAGCTAAACCTTAGGCTTCAACTTCAGACTACTTCCCCCTTTTGGCATCATTAAAAAGTATCCACAAGTAAAAGCAATGTGCACAAGTTAATGTGCTTATCCATACAATGGCATCAACCACCATTCAAGCATTATGCTGCAAAAAGAGATTAGTCAAACAGTTCATACCATAACAGAGTTAGTAGTTCATACAAGCCAACAAAGTTCAACCAAAGAAGCCCAAATCCATCCAAAAAGAAAGTTCATGGAATGGAGAGAAGTAGACAGACCAACAAAATCAGTTATTTTAGAATAAACATGAGGGTGAGGAAACAAGAACAGAAACAGCATCACTCCTCATCATCATTCTCGTTCCCTTCCTCCTCCTCGAACTTTGCAACATCTTCTGTATTATCATCTGATTCCTCTTCATCCTTGTCACCATGCTCTGCTTAAACCAAAATCATTATATTACTAAGCATATTCTTGTGATTCCCCCAATCTGTTTCAAAACCACTTCCTGACCTGCTGGTTCCTCTATTTTTTTTTTTTTTTTTTTTATTTTTTTTTTTTTTTTTTTGTTTTTTTTTTTTTTTTTTTTTTTTGTTTAAAGAAAGCATGAGAGATATGTACAGATTCAGAATGTTCTCCTTGTTGCATAACGAGTGCAAAACTGTTCTCCTTGTTGCATAACGAGTGCAAAACTAGCATCACATCAATCAAGCAAAGAGGTTCTTGCTGGTACCCTTTTTCTCTTGGTTCCTGGAACAGCGTCAATGGACTGTTCCTCCTGCACCTTCTCAGTGAACTTCTTTAATTGAGTTACTCTACTTCGTACCATGGTCTTAGCAGTGGGTGTCTCCTCATAATAACCAACAACCTCTATTTCATCCTTTTCACTTTGACTTTTCTGAATTTCCTCCAACTTCGGGCTTAAGGACATTTATGCTTCCTTCTGATGTTCCCCCTGAGACTGAGCTGGTTCCTTGAGTGAACAGTAACCGAATGAACAATGATGAATTTAAAGCATACGAGAGAGAGAAAGAGAATTTCGAGTGATGATGATTGATGATCTGCACAAAGGGTTAGTGTATATTTTAACAATGAAGCACAAAGAGAGAAGAAGGAAAGAAAAGAGTTAGTTGAGCCAATAAAAAGCAACTGTAAAGGATATTTTTAAATTGAAATCAAAAATTTGGTAATTATCTTTTACCATAATTATCTCAACCAACTATAAATAAGGCATATGATATGTTTGCCTTTTATATGGAATTAAATAACTGAAATAAGATAAATTCCTTCCAAAAGGAAATATCTTATAGTAATCTTCCGAAAATAAAAGATATTATCGGATGACATATCAGAGCTGGTCTGGTGTTTCCCTTTGCTGGTACCTGTATAGAACCATGTCACGCTGTTTCTGGCAATTCAGCCTGATTTCACCTGTTTCTTACAACAATGATTCTCAATCCTTTTGAGATTTTGAACCATCTACACAACACTTGAAAGATATCAACATAAGTATGTACACACACTATACAAGAGAATACCATTCTAACCAATCATTGAAGGAAGTAATTGAAGCCAATACCTAAAGTCTAACTAGACCTAAAAGGACTCTTAACCTACAAAAAGACTCTCTACACAAAGGCTTTGTGAAGATATCAGCAATTTGATCTTCACTTTTACAAAACAACATCTCCACCAATCCTTTTTCCACATTGTCTCTTAAAAAATGGTGTCTTATTTCAATGTGTTTTGTCTTGGAGTGTTGCACAGGATTCTTTGAAATATTGATTGCACTAGTGTTATCACAGAAAATAGGAACACTTTTATAAATAACACCAAAATCTTT